TTTTTTTTTTTATATTTCCCAAATGGTCTTTAACAGAGCAGGGAAATTTTTACAGTATGACTGATGATGTATTTTCTTCTGGAGAAAGTCTTTTTTGTTTGTTTGTTTTATTTCGACTAGAATACACGCAGTTTTTAATTTTTTAAAAGCCATTTTAAGGACAAAATTATTAGCATTTTTTTTTGATAGTCTACAGAAAAAACATTGTTATACAATAACTTGCCTAATTACCTTATCTTGCCTAGTTAACCTAATTAACCCAGTTAAGCCTTTAAATGTCACTTTAAACTGTATAGAAGTGTCTTGAAAAATATCTAGTCAAATATTACTTAATGTCATCATGGCAAAGATGAAATAAATTATTTATGAGTTATTAAAACTACTATGATTAGAAATGTGTTGAGAAAATCTTGTGGGGAAAAAATTAACAGGGGTCTAGAATTCGGGGTGCTAATAATTCTGACTTCAACTATATATATATATATATATATATGTATATATATATATATATATATATATATATATATATATATATATATATATATATATATATATATATATATATATTTCATGTTATTATTAATGGGATAATTATATAATAATATGATATAATTATACTTTTGTTTATGATTATTACTATTTTGATAAGTGATAATAGGACAATAATAAAAGTAAAATATAAAATATTTATACACAATATTAAATATAATCAAATAAATAATTGTTAACAACTAAATAATGCATTATTATACAGATTTGAAAAAGCATTTGTGTGATAAATTATAAAATATTCCAAGATATCACAATAAATATTTTCATTATAATAAATTCAAAGAGATAAACTGTTTCAGGCACTTAAGTTGTACAAATGAATTATAAAGACTCAGTTAGGTACTTTATTAAACTCATTTTTTTTATTATTGTTGATAGTTATTATAATAAAAATATATATTTCTGATTTATAATAATGATTTTTATTATAGAAATGTTAAAAGCATTTATACAGAATAAAGTGTAATATATTACTAATATATAAAAAATCCTAAATGTTTATCAAGTATTTTATCTGTTGTTAGAATTATTATTACTATAATCATCGTTATCATAAAGATTTGGAAAAGCATTTGTGTAATTAATTATGAAATATTTTAAGATGTCACAATAAATATTTTCATTATAATATATTTTAATAGATGATAAATCAACTGTTTCAGGAACCGGCGAGGCAGTGGCGCAGTAGGTAGTGCTGTCGCCTCACAGTAAGAAGGTCGCTGGTTCGAACCTCGGCTCAGTTGGCTCAGTTTGCATATTCTGCCCCTGCCTTTCCTCCGGGTGCTCCGGTTTCCCCTACAGGTGCAATTGGGTAGGCTAAATTGGTACGTAGTGTATGAGTGTGTGAATGTGTGTGTGGATGTTTCCCAGAGACAGGTTGCGGCTGGAAGGGCATCCGCTGCGTAAAAACTTGCTGGATAAGTTGGCGGTTCATTCCGCTGTGCCGCCACGGATTAATAAAGGGACTAAGCCGGCAAGAAAATGAATTAATGAATGAATGTTTTAGGAATCGAAAACTCAATTAGGTACTTTATTAAACTCTTTTAATATATTAATAAAAAATAAACAATCGTTAATATTGTTAATTGTTATAATAGAATATATTTCTGTTTATAATAATCATCATCATCATTGTTATTATTATTATATAAAAATGTTAAAAGCATTTATACAGAATAAAGTATAATATATTACTAATATATAAAAAAATTCAATGTTTATAAGTTATTCTTTTGTTATAGGTATTATTACTATTATCATAAAAATGTTAAAATGATTGTGATTATGATTGTTATCAACACCAAAAATATTTTTAAATAAAATATTAGGATATAATTCTAATTTATTTAAATTAAAAAATATACACATTATTATTATTATTATTATTGTTGTTGTTGTTGTTATAAAGATTTGATAAAGCAATTGTGTGACAAATTATGAAATAGCCCTTGATATAACAATAAATGTTTTGATTATAATATATTCAAATAGATAATAGACAAACTTTCAGGCACTGAAATAGTCAAAATAAAATAATTAAACTTAGTTAAGTACTTTATGAAACTCATTTGTTATGTTGCCTTTTTTAATAAAAAATAATAAAATTATTATAGATTGTTATTATAATAAAAAAGTTTTATAATAATTAATATTTTGAATATGTTAAAAGCATTTATTCAGAGTAAAGTATAATATATTACTAATATATAAAATATATTAAATGTTTATCATAAGTATTTTATCTGTAATTAATATTACATTTATAATACTATAATCCTCCTTATCGATGTTAAAAGAATACAATGTACAAAAAAATACATAATTATTAAAACTTAAAAAAAAAAAACTACTATAAATAAATGTGTATTATCATTGTTGATGATGATCAAAATCACCAAAAAGATACAAATAAACCAAAACCAAAAATAAAATATTAGGATATAATACTAATTTACTGAAATATAAAAATATACACATTATTATTATTAGCAATAGCCTTATCATAATCATTATGATCAAGATATTAATATATATATATATATATATATATATATATATATATATATATATAATAGATAATGACCAAAGCAATGCACAAATGAGCACAATGTAACTGAACAGCCAACGTTATTCCCTGTAAAAACTCACACCTAGTTTTAAATAAATAGGAGAAAATCTGAGGTCAGCAGCTCGTTCATACGCCCATGTTCATTAGGGACGCGTCTGACGTAAACTTACGCTTTCTCTGTACATCACCCAGCCTGCCTTGGAACTGATCGGGAAACTGCTGCTAAAGTGTGTGGGAGAGATCTGTGTGCAGGGAGCACGTGAACGCACAAGGCAGAACGCTGAAATATTTCTCTCCCGGTAAAAAATGTGTGAGCCCACTGCTGTGTTAAACAGAGCCAGAGAGCACAGATCTGACACAATCAGCTTTCTGCAAAGGCCAGACATCGTCTAAAACCCAAAAGAGCCAGGAAAGCTCATCAGTCCTCTGTCATGCAAAACACTCCACTGACTGCAGACAGAAACTGCAGCACGGAGAGCCGGAATGGACAAACAAGCGGCCTGTCATGTAGAGTGGACTTCTGTATTTTAAGGGTTAGTTCACCCAAAAATATTATTTTACTCACCTTCAAAAGTTTCCAAATCTTTATAAGTAGATATAAGAAGATATTTTGAAGAATGCTGAAAACCTGTAACCATCGACTTTCATAGTGCGAAACACAAATACTATGAAAGATGACGATTACAGGTTTTCATCTTTCTTCAAGATATCTTCTTTTGTGGTTAACAGAAGAAAGAATCTCCTAAAGGTTTGGAACAAGAGAGAGTAAATGATTTAGATTTTTGGCTGAACTATCCCTTTCAGTCTTCTGTAAACATCCCAATACATCAGCCAGCAAAAACAGGACAACATATTCAACAAGCAAGTCTCCCTCCTCCTTTTCTTCCCTCGCTCTTCCCCTTTCGTTTCTGCCTTGTTTTCCTTCTCTTTTTCCCTTCTCTTCTCCTCACCTCCTCCACAACACAGGCTTACAATCAGCAAGGCCACCATGCACTCGAGCACACGCACAGGTTTGTGCCGGTTTGTCTCATAGCAACAAGTGGAGTCTCTTTGCTGGAGCTCATGGCGAGATGAAGCACATTTAAGGCCCACGGTGCAGCTCCGAGCTCAGACACTCAGTCTAAAGACACAGTGGGTGGCAGCATCTTATGGTGCAGTTATGACAAAATAGTCAGCAGGAGGTGAAAGCATGCACTCAGACAGAAGGCCTCATCCTGTACCTGAAGCTGCACTGTTTAGGACACTTTTAATGCTTTAGGAGATGCAGGACTAATGCAAACACAGCAGCAGTCAGTGCGATGACATTGGCGTGTACGCAGAATGCCAAACAAGAGACAACTGGCTTGATTGTGATTGGCCCAAGCAAGGACACTGAGAGTGTGTTCACACTTGCAGCTTGTTTTTGTTTGCTTTTTCCTCTGGACTAAAACATGATTGATTTAATCCTGACTTGCTTGGTGTCGTTTTTAAGACTAAACCTAAAGATTTTTGCAATGGAACTGAATGTGCAAACAATACAGTGCTGGTGTGATGATAAATCCAGTTTTTTTATCGGTTGAGAACTTGTAAGCGCTCATAAAATGTGTCATTTAGTCAATCCATGTCCTGTTTTGGCTAGTTTAGATATATTTCTTTTAATGTGCAGTAGAAGGCAAACTGATGCTGTTTTATTTTGTGTGTAATGAAAGTCAGATGGCAGTGTTCACACTTATTGTAATCTAATAAATCCTGCTGAAAGAAATCGTACCCAAGTTTGTTTAAGCCAAGTGTAAACAAACCCTACATGCTTCATTCTTGCAGATTAAGTGTATTTTTTAAGTTAATCGTTTATTGATGATTACATGCCTATTAATATATAAATTGAAAACAAATGTTTTAATAATAACTCATGATGTCAAGTTAAAGACCAACTTGTTGACTCATAAACACCTCATAAATCACGCGTTGCTTCAGCCCTAATAATGTCAACAGGTTTCTGTGAGAATCAGGTTTAAAGATAAAGTAGTAAACGTAACTATCTACTGTATAAACTATCGTGTCTGTGATGGGTCATTATTTGGCTGTAGCCTCAAAAGTCAGCGAGTGCGTGTTTGCGCGCCGCCTGTCAAACTGCACTCAGTAAATCTCTGTAAAACGTGAGTCGTGAGCATCAGTTCTGGCCGTGATTCGCTGCACCTGAAGCATTTACAGAGGGTTTATTCTACACAGTCATGAAGGAAACAAACAAACTTCTTAATTAGACCCGTGAAAGTGAACCCAAAGCTGAAAATATATCAAAATAAACAGCTTGAATGGCGATGTGGCTGCTCATCGGTCGTGCTCGCGCAGCTCTCCTGCGACACACGCGCTCTCACACACACGCACGCACACACACACTCACTTTAGCTTTAGTGCAATCTTCCTCCTTGCCGTCCTCGATGTTTACGATGATACTGGAACCGGCGTTGGGGCTGTCGCAGCTGGACTCGGCGGCGCTGCAGCTCACTCTGACCCGGAAAACCCGCTGGATGTGCGGGATGCAGCGCTGGAGCGCAGGGCCTGCACCGGCGGGCGCGGCGAGCTCCAAAACCATTTATCAGACGGATAAATAAGCGATCACGACGCGCTCCGGAACAGTGGCACGCATTCGCCCTGCGTCCTGCTTCATGGGTGGAGCAGCAGGGGAAAGAAAGTCACGGGAGGGTGCAAGTTTGTCTGCGGCCGAGCATAACGGCAAACGTACGGGACGCGCTACATAAGCATCTATCATCCATCTCCATCCCTCCTTCTCCTCTCGCCCTCCCTTCCTCACTTCCCTCCCTCCCTACAGCGGCCCCGACTGCACCCACCGCCTCGCTTCGGCAACACGTCGGACGCCCCCTGTCGCTGCGCTCGGACGGGCAGAGCCGCAGAAAGTGCGTGTTTTGCTGCCTCCGTCTCAGCGTTTTGAAGCACGTGGGTGGACGGGACTCCGGTAATGCAGCAACTGAGGGTTAAAAATACATCGGACGCGCTGAGCGCTGAATGCGCGGTCCGTTATGACCGCCAGTCTCCAAACTTTAGTGTTCGTAAGGATGATATCATTGAGCAGTTGTAATTCTGGAATCGTTTTTTATTGACTTATCGTCCTATGAGCCAATACCGGGCATCTGCGCCGCCACAATTGTTTAAATATTTTATTTCAACAACAGGTTTCGATAGCTCGGCTATATGCAAACCTCTGTTGCATTAAAATTACGTCTGAAATGTCTGTTAAGCGATGCATTTCCCTCCCTATAATTGACTGAGATGTCGAGCAGCGTGTATTTTCTGTTGTCTGTTTTGAATCAGAAGTGATGATGCCCGATTCGTGAATGAATCATTCGTATGAGTCGATTCTTTTCAACAAATCGCTCGAACGACTTTTACGATTCAGTGTGAATCTTTCTGACTGTTCAGTGGTGAACTAGGCCTATATCATTTTTCGAAAAAGCTCAAACAGGTTTTTAAGTTCTTGAAAAGCAGCATGTGTGGACATACACAATAACATCAAGCGGTTACAATTCACCCCAAAAATATTTTTTGTCAGTTTATTCACCCTCAGGCCATTGATTCAGGTGACTTTTTCAGCAGAACATTATAGCAGACTTCACTTATATGCTTCACTCTAGCTGAATCAGTTGCAACCAACAGGCTACATTGATGTCTCATAAAGTGTGTGCATATTAATTAACTGTAAGTCGTTAACTTTAATCCAGATGAGCCTCAGCAGTTTTTTAAATTCATGCACAATGTGCAAACATGTGAACTGACCATGTTTGTTTACAATGGTGTGTTTATCATGGATGCTGCAGTCGTTATTTTAAAAAAGATGTTAACAAACACTCATAATTTGCTGAGGCTGTGTATTACAGGCTGTAGCCAGTGGGGGTTTGGGTGATTCGAAAGACACACCCCTCACTGACAAAGGCCATGAATATGACCTTTACATGTACTGGTTTATCCCATTTTTGACTGCTATGCTATCTTAAATTGTGAAAATTACAGACAGAAAAAGGCTTTAAGACAAATGTAATATTAATCTTTCAAGTGCCCATTTCTGACTGAGGAAGTGAATGAAATGGCCAGTTTTTATTTGCCTATTAGCTACACTTTTTTAGTTTAAACAAGTTTTACCAGACTCCTAAGTTTTTCTTTCTTAAATGATGGATGATAATAGATTTGTATTTTAAAATAATTTTCATATTTTCTCTGTTTATTTCATAACATATCTAAAACTAATAATTTACAGTTTAACTGCAAAATTGTAGATAAAAACTTTGTAATAAATAGGTCTCACGGTGGCGCAGTGGGTGGCATGATTGCCTCACAGCAAGAAGGTTGGTTTGAGCCTCGGCTGGGTTGGCATTTCTGTGTTGAGTTTGCATGTTCTCCTCGTGTTGGCGTGGGTTTCCTCCGGGTGCTCTAGTGTTCTCCACAGTTCAAAGACATGTGCTATGGGTGAGTTGGGTAAGCTAAATTGTTCGTAGTGTTTGAGTGTGTATGGAAGTTTCTCAGTGATTGGTTGCAGCTGGATGGGCATCCGCTGCATAAAACATATGCTGGATAAGTTGGCAGTTCATTCCTCTGTGGCGACTCCAGAATAATAAAGTTACTAAGCCGACAGGAAAATGAATGAATACTTCGTTATAAAGTAGGATGGTAAGCACATATTTTTAATACATCAAAAAGTGTGGTTATGATTACCATATAGACAATAGTGCTTAAAATGCCACTAAAATGCAGCATTTAAATCTCGCATGAGGCGAATAACTGCAAAAAGGTCCACTTTTTTCAGAAAAAAATACCACTTTCAATAGGCAGGCTACGGGCTTGTATAATATGTAATGTTTTAATCAGCTGTCAAAACATTACTTATCAATGTGTGGCTCTTTTTGGACACGCGAAAGCTATAGAAATTAAAAATGTAAAACAGGATATACGTTGGGACCATTGTTTTTGTTTACATCCCTCAAAATTATAATTGAATCCAGTGTTGTGTCGAGAAAAAGTTGCCTATATACCTGCTCTACATAAACATTAACAAATTAATAAATGTTCTTGTTTTTCTAGATATGTTTTTGTTTGTTTGTTTTATGATAAACATGTCATACAAATAAAGCTGGCTAATATTTAAAATATTTTACCCCAAATATCCTTTAAATCTATATAATCTGAATATCACGGACGTCTGACAAAACCCTTGAGTGATTTTTTAAACGCGCGCTCCCTTTAAACCTCGCCGAGAATTGTGGGAAATGTAGTCAGCGGGTGTTGCTGTTGTCCACAGCTGGTTAGCATTTCCATTGTCTTTCTTATGAGAGGAATATCCGCTACAATCGTCTCTTCTTTTCTTATTCCAACACACGTCTTACCCTTTCTTAGTCCACCATGGCGGACGAGCAAGAGATAATGTGCAAGCTAGAAAACATCAAAGAAATAAGGTAAGAAAAGCCGAGATTGCTTCAAAAGCAGACACGCTAGCTCAGTGTCCAACATCTGGCCAATTCGCCTGGATCGCTATAAAAACGCATAAATATAAACGTTTAATTTCTTTGAAGCAGTGCTTGATTTGCCTGTTTAATCAACCATTAAACAATTTGAGATATTGCTTCATTGCTTTGTGTCGGTCATCATGCTAAAGTAAATAGCTTACAACATAAAACAGAAGTAGCTTTGCTCTAAATCTGAAAACGTCTCGCACTAATTCTGCAAAGTCTCTGATCACACCGTTATTTTAGCGTTAGTAAGTGTGTAGGCATCCTGTTGTGGTTAGGAACGAAACTGCATAGCAAACGGTTCATTTCCTGCACAACGGAGCTTAATCATTTATAAAGCCTTTAATGATCGTCTGCTGAAGTATTGATGTGCACAAAATAGGCCTAAAACATTTTGTGATGGCATCACTGAAACCACAATACAGATGTCTTATTCATTTAAAGTCACATGCACCAGATCAGATCAGGCTGCATTGTTATAGCATTGTCATGCAGTGGCTGGATGCTCAGTTTAATTTGTGTGGGTTTACAGGAATAAGACAATTCAGATGGAGAAGATCAAATCTAGACTGAGGACCGAGTTTGAAGCTCTGGAGTCAGAAGAAAAGCACCTGAGAGAGTACAAACAGGAAATGGATCTTCTGCTGCAAGAGAAAATGGCTCACGTAGAGGAGCTGCGGCTCATTCATGCGGATATTAACGTGGTAAACAGATCATCTGTGATACAAGATTTGATTTGAACTCCATTTATAATTTCTTTATTGTTTATTCATCACATCTGCTCTTTCTGACTTAATGCATATACATGAATGCATGCAACATATATTATGAGATAATTGGTTAATCTTAGTTACATATTTTGTAATAACTTATATTTGTAATAAATCACTTTTCTATCACACCTAATATACAGAAAGACAACTCACTATGACTTGATGCATGTCATGTATATATAATAAACATAAAAAACATTACACTCAGCATAATTCTCTGCATAATTGAGTACACCCCATTTTGAAAATAAATATTTGTATCCATTTCTTAGTGAATATGGGTATTATATGTTGGTGCATTTCAACAATACAGATTTATTAAACAGATATATTCAAGTACTAATTTAGTCACAGAGCATCTTTAGAAATGGAAAGATAATACAATTAAATTCATGCAAACAAAATACAATCTACAACATTTCAACTAAATTGTATAATTTGTTTCTCTTGATTTTTGCTATTTTTGAAAATGTTATTCAGTATTTTTCTATAACATATACATTTGGGCTATGAGTTTTAAACCGTTATTATGAATTATTTTGTTAGATAAGCTTCAAATTTGCCTTCAGTACTGACTAATCTAATGTATATGCACAAATATAAAGAATCCTATAGAAAATATGAATTGAAATGAGAGATTGGCTGAGCACTGTATCAGACATTAGTTGATAATGATTCATTTATTTGAATAGCGTTCGTATTTATCAGCTCTTCGTCACATCTTCACTTCTGGTAATTAATCCATCTGTACAAAAGCATGCAAAAGATAATATTTCTGAGGTTTAAAAGAGATTGACATTTTCATTCAGAAAAGGTGCATTAAATTGATCAAAAGTGAGAGTTAATCATGCATAAAATTACTGCAGTATGTTTTGAAGATTAAAGAAACCTGAAGAAAATTATTATGCAGCACAGCGAATACATTTTTCTTAAGCACCATATCAGCATATTATGATTTGAGAAAACTTGAATAATGATGCTAAAAATTCAGTGTTGATGTGTCAGGCATAAATGACATTTTAAAATACAAAATGTAGGCTTTTTTAAAGCATAAATTCATCCTTATTGAACTTTAATAAAACTTTACAGTAAGCATGTGTTTTTGTTACACATGCTTACTGTAATAGTAACAGTAAATTATGCAAAATTACACTTAAAGTTATAGTTTACTCAATAATGAATTACTTTTATCATTTACTCTCCCTCCAAGGTTTTAAATATTTATGAGTATTTGGGTCCACTTTATATTAATGGGCCTTAACTAGTACTTTCACCGGCATTAATAGCTAACCTTTTACTTTTGATGGTCCACTAGAGTATTAAGAAACTGTCTGCTTAATATGTCTTCAACAGACATTTAACTGACTATAAGAAACTTTTCAAGTACATGTCAACTAACCCTAACCTCAAGCTAACAGTCTACTTATAATCTAATGAGGATTAGTTGGCATGTAGAGGCAATGTAATTTAAAATCAACAATCAGACCATCAAAATAGTGACCCATTAATAATACTTATTGTGTAAATAAATGCTTAATTAAACACCTGCATGTAATTACATCCGTAATTAATTTCTGTAATTACATTGTTGCCCATCTCTTACACCTTAATCCAACCTTAAACGTACACATAACACCAAACCTGCTCCTAATCATACCCGTATCCCATCTCAGTAGCATCAGAAGTGTTCTGCAATACATTCATAACACTTTAAGTACATTGTATTTATATATTGATGTAAACACATAGGCGTTAAGGCCACTTATTATAAAGTAGGACCAGTTTTCTTTTGTTGAACACAAAAAAAAAAAGATATTTTGAAGAGTAATTGTTGCTGGCACCCATCGTCTTCTATAGTAGGAAAAGAAATGACTATGAAAGTCAAAGGGTGCCAGTAGCAGCTGTTCAACAGAAGAAAGAAACTCAGATAGGTTCTAAACAAGTGAACTAACAAGAATTTAAAGTTTTGGGTGAATAAAACATTTGAATTAAACCTGAAGCAAATTAATTGCTAACACTAACTCTATAGTAAGGGCAAGTTAATTAATAATACTGAGAATCTAAATGTGTAATTAAATGGTAACAAGCATGCTATAAATAAAAGTGTAACAGAGTTATTTCATAAAAGCCAAAATTCACCTGTATTGCATTATATTTTACTCTACCACCTCACTGTTCTCTTATGAAAAAATACTATAGTAATTACTGTAGCGTTTTGAAGCACACTATAGTAAAGTGTATTATGCTATATTCATTCATTTATTTTTCTTTTTGGCTTAGTCCTTTTATTAATCTGGGGTCGCCACTGCGGAATGAACCACCAACTTATCCAGCATATTTTTTTTACGTAGCGGGTGCCAATCCAGCTGCAACCCATCACTGGGAAACACCCATACACATTATTTTACTATATATATATATATATATATAGTATATATATATATATCCCAAAATAATTCTGCATAAATCCGCTAATTTTTCAAAAACATACTAAGCAGAAATAACAAAAAACGTCCGCAAATTCTGTCTGGCCCTACACATAACTTACTTTGTAAACCAATTTGTTTGGTTTTCTTTTGCATACATGGAATTATTTGACACCTTTTGAAGTGCTTGAGAAAAATGGTGATATGTTCAATACTTAACCCCACTGTACATATATACAATCTTGTGTGTATATATATATATATATATATATATTGTAGTATTTAAAACTCTTTGCAATTGAATGCTACTAGTATTAACTAGCAAGCTTTACTGTAATAAACTTTAGTTTTTAGTACAGTAAGCTGTGGTGTATTGTAGTATAATATACCCTGTAACTATAGAAAACTATAGTATTAGACAATTTACTAAAATTACTGTAGTTGTGTTAAAATAGCAGCCACAGAATCACTAAACGTATTAATTAAAGTGCTGCTTGTTCAAACAACTAATTTAAAATGCACTGAAACATCGCAAATCAGCACCTGGAGAAAACCCACGCCAACATGGGGAGAACATGCCAACTCCGCACAGAAATCCCAACTGACCCAACCTTCTTGCTGTAAGGCAACAGTGCTAATCACTAAGCCACTGTGTCACCCTAGTTTAATCCACTTAATTTGGTAAAAATCAATGAAGTCAACTGAATTGGTTTTTGTTGGGAGAACTTAAAGGAATTGTGTGGAACCCAGCCATTTTTAGTCTACTTTATTTTAGTATATTTTAAACATAGTATGGTTATAGTATGTTCAAAGACTGCAGTATTTATTATTATTATTATTTTTTTATATTTGTTTCTACAATCTGACCGGGTGTTACCGAGTTGGACGCCAAACCATTAGGTTAACACCATTGTGATTTATGGACTGGCTATATTTCTTCTCCCAGATGGAAAACACTATCAAACAGTCAGAGAGTGACTTGAACAAACTGCTGGAGTCCACCAGACGTCTCCACGATGAATACAAGCCACTGAAAGAGCATGTGGACGCCCTGAGGATGACCCTCGGCTTACAGAGACTTCCAGACCTCAGCCAGGAAGAGGAGAAACTCTCGCTGGAGTCAGTAACACTGCTTCTGAGTGTGTGTGTTTGTGTGTGTGACTGGGGAAACTCCTCAAAATGAGTCACTGGCGTGTGGGAGTGTGTGTTTGCAACAGAGTAATTCTTAAAGCTGAGTCAGAGAAATTGCGAGAAGGAGAGTGTGTAATTGTGTACAGTGTGTGTGTGTGTGTGTGTATAGGAAAGCTAAACTGCTTACTGTCTGTTTGTGTGCTCTTTCTCGTGTTGCAGCTACTTTGAAAAGCAAAAGGCTGAGTGGCAGACAGAACCCCAAGAGCCCCCTATTCCAGAATCCCTGGCGGCGGCGGCAGCTGCAGCCCAGCAGCTTCAGGCTGCTCGAAAACAGGACGCCAGGCAGACGGCAACGTTCCGACAGCAGCCGCCACCAATGAAGGTACGCAGACTTTTACATTGTCTACAGTAGTCAACCATTTGAGTGGATTCACTTAGGACAAGAATGGGTGTTGGAGAGGTTTTTTTTCACACTTTTATTGTTTCTGAAAAATGTGATGCATACATACTGTATTGATAACCAAATACCAAATTAAAGAACACCCACCCCATCCCGACAGAGCCATAAAAAATGCATTCACATGCAAGGAAAATAATACATAAACAAATAAATAAATAGAAAATAAAAATAAACTAAAATAAGATAAAATAATACTAAAAAAATTAAAGAGCATTTGAAAGCACATGAAAGTGAAAAATATATTAAAGTTAGTCATTACAAACACAGTGCACATTAACACAGTCACATTGTTTGGGATTACTAAACAGTCAGTCCGTTTTTATTTAAAAAATGAAGAAAGAAGTCCCAAATCTTGTAAAATATGTGCATTTTTGTTTGATAGAGTAAGGCTACGTTCACACTGCGAGGCTTAGTGCTCAAATCAGATTTTTTCTCAGATATGATTTTTGTTTTGCATGGCTGTTCACACTGCTATTATAAATGTGGCTAATATCAGATTTGCAGTGTGAACAGATCATGGTCCTAAACTGACTCGCCTGCTCAAAAGTACAGATACGGACAGCACAAAATGTCTAATTATGCACACTGTATGTATTCTGTAAGCACGTTGTCAGATCATGCTTATATGATTATTGCCCTTTTCACAGACAACCGTTGTGTATTTCATGAACTGTAACCATGAATACTTTTTCAGTAAATGGCAATCAGGCGCTTCGCATGCATCAGACACAGATTTAGAAACTTCTGTTCATATGACTTCAGCGATAAGGCAGGTGGGAAAAGACCAAGAATACTGATTTCAGGGCGAACAGGGATTTTTTTTACCAATAGTTTTAGAGATTACACCTATTATTTCTTTCCAAAAGGATTGCAAGTGCTTACATTGCCAAACACAATGCAACAGTGTGCCTTTGTAAGTCAAACATTTTCCACAAAGGTCCAAAATATTTCTAATAAATGTATTTAACATTTCTGGTGTTATATATGTTCTCATTATCCAATTATTTGAATTTGTTTAAAACGGGTATTGATTGATAATGTTTGCGCTTAAACACAACTTTCTTCCCAATTATTTTCTGTAACATCCATTTAAAAGCCATCAATCCGTGCCAGTCTGTAGATTCTTTGGAAGCATTGACGAATTTGCTATATAGTGTAGAAATTTCGTATTTGGCACTGGGATCTTTAACTGCAATTTCTTCTAATCTACTGAGGGTCGGGCACTGATTTGAATGAGTTTTAGATCTTATAAAATTACGGATCTGAAGATACTTAAAAAAATGAGACTGAGAAATTTTATATCTTTCCTTCAAGGTTTTAAATGTCATCAATATATTATCTTCATAAAGATCTGATATCTTTGGAGAAAGGTTTTGATCCACATTTTGACTACTACACTCAAAAATGACGTTTGCTGCTTGTTTAAAATGAGTTAAGGTAACACAACTCTTAAGTTTTTTGGGACAACTTAATTGTTTTATGCCTTATACACAATAAATAACTAACATTAACGTAATCGATAAACTTAAATCTTTTATTTTTAGTCTGTTTGATTGATGTAAGTTGAGATGAATAGGAAAGTAAGTAAGTTTGAATCATCTACAGAATTTAAGGCAGTAAAAATGACAGTATGTGTGCAAATGCTCATACATTAGCCGTCATGCGTGGAATAATATGTAATAGCTTATGTTTACACTTTGCTGGCAAAATAAATAAGGTGTTGCTTTTATTCCAGAGATACCGAAAGTAGGGCCTGCGGGCCAAAGATAACCCATTGTAATCTTTGATTTGGCCACCATCCCATCTGAGAGGAGAGTAAGACTGATGGAGAAGGTTGGGTTGAATGCCTTTAACACAGAGATCGTCATTACTAATTTTACGTTACTTTTTGTTTTATTGCTGAGCTACAAAAACAAACAAACTGAAATTAAATGTTTCAATTAAATGTTGTAAATGAATCAGATTTTTTTTAAATATGTAAATACTGTCACTTGAAAGATAGAGGACTATGCAGAAAACATTGGCAAGCAAATCAAGGCAACAACTAGTGTAATTCTGTAATAAATGAGATTGTTTTGTTTATTATAAAATGTAAAATAAGTACTGTATTAGTTAATATAAAGCAACATTTTTTAGTATTTATTAAACATTTTTAAATAAATTAATAAATTAGCCTTGGAAATCTTCAGCCCACAAGCATCAATCAATTTTGGTTTTTGGCTCTTCATAAGAAAAAGTTGGGGCATCCCTGCTTGAGTCGTATGGTAAATAGTTCAGGTAAAACTTTTTTATGGCATTGGCTTTATTGTAGTACTGCAGTCTGATTCAATTTAAGAACTTAATTAATATTTTTAATTAACTAAGCTTCACATACTGAACTACAGTGAACTTTTACAATGCTACACTATCTTTTATACATTCATCATTTCATTTTGACTTCTATACACTCAAAGCTTAGGGTTATTTTTATCTTTATTATTTATCTTTTTAGTTTATAAGAGCTATTTTACTTTCTGGTTTTTGAATTTTATATTTCATATTACACTATAGTCAGAATGATTTTATGATTATCGTAACTAAAAACTGAATATATGAAATAAAAATAATACATTTTTTACTTATATTTTATGTTTACAATTAATGCAATTCCAATTAGATCCACTTATTTTGTAAACTAAGCAAGTCTCGTATATAATATCTCTACTAAAAGACAGAACATATTAGTTTACAAACTATATAGTAATTTAATTATATAAACAATTTAATATTATTATTAATAAATCACAATAATATTAGTGAAACTAATTTAAAAACTGATATAAATCTAAGCACAAAATAATATACATTTACACACATTTACAGAAGTAAATACAAAAGACTCAATGATGGGCTAAAAATCTATGGAAATCTGCAGATTTCTGCACACGTATTCCATGTGGGCTTAGTTATTACTCCAGTCCTTAGTGACACAGTCTTTAGTTTTAATATTTTTGAAAATCCCCTTTACATTAAGATATTTTGGGGTTCAGAAATCTTTAATTGATTGAATATTCCAAAGCATTTCTTTTAAATAAAAATATTTTGTAACACTATAAAGATCTGCTTAGTATTAAATGAATTTGTTGTCTTTTTTCAGGCTTGCCTTTCCTGTCACCAACAAATCCACCGGAATGCACCGATCTGTCCTCTCTGCAAAGCCAAAAGCCGCTCACGCAACCCTAAAAAACCCAAGAGAAAACCTGACGAGTAACATACAGTGCTTTCTACAACCTTGGAGAAAACCTGACCAACACACACGACCCCAACAGAAAATGATCCACTTATATAAACACACTCACTCATGCTCTCATGCATGCACATTCCCAAACACACACAAACACACATTTACTTTCATACACAAACACTCCATTGTCCTGGAGAAATGGACCATCTGCAGTCTGATAACTCGACCTCTCATAGTGATCCTGTAGTTCAATCTGTCTTCCTGGACATGAGGTCGTCGTTTTTCATTTCAGTTTTCTATAAGTGAACCCTTGATATCGTGTTTGTACCGTGTCTGTATTTAGTCGCTAGTGGAAAAGGATGCAGGTTTAGAAATATTGGAGTGTACTGTCGTGCGTGGGGTTTTATTCTAGTGCATTAGTTCAAAACTAAACTCTCTAAAGTGGCTTTAGTCATCAGAGCCGGTTGTACGGTATTCATTTATTACTTTAATAAGGTTAATTGATTATTAATGGTATGAGTTTACATATGTCATTTTGTTTTATGATAATAGTGCGTATTGTTTTTGTTGTATTGTGTTCTGATGGTTTGAACAGAATTAGCTTTTACCTTTAAATGTGGTGCTAGTGGTATGTGATTGGGGAAAAGAGGGAACAATAAAGAATTAGATGCAACAGTGAAATATTGAACATATTTGGAAAGTGGCATATTTCTGGATTCTCTTGAAACCATTGTTCAATTTGACTGAATGAGCTGTTAATTTGTATTTGACTGAAAGGGCATTATGAGCTTGTTTGAATATTCAGTATTGAAGTGTTGTGTTTGTGTCTCATCTTTTTCTGAGAATCTTTTTTTGATAATAATAACAATAATTAAAATCTGTGAAGCTAAAGAACTTTGGGGCTCGTGTCGTGATTAATTTGTGGAATAATATTATTCTTTTCAAGTTGGTTGTGTCATCTGATTGATTCTTTCTTTCTGTCTCCATTCTTGTCATTGGCTTGATATTTATCTGGAATTTGACCTTTCACCCATGACCTCAACAATGCAATAATCATTCTTTATTTGCTAATCTCTTTACCAGTACGAAGGACAAGAGACATTCTTTCTGCGCCGTTCTCTTGGTCCTGATGGGGGCGATATTTACACTTAGAAAACTCCCCAGCTTCGTCTTTTATCATAAAATTCATATTGTTTAGTTATTTACCTTTTTTTATAACTGTTCTGTTGAGTTTTTAAAACAATCAACGTTGACACAAAGTTGTTACAGATTCAATATCTTTAAATAACATAATTTGGGGAAAATAAATGGTTAGACTTTTTATGTAAAACTGTCCAGGTTTTCAATGTTTCTGTTTAATTAAAGTTGACTTGCGAGACAACTTCACAAAAAATACTGTTAACCTTTAATAATATTTCTTTAAGAACTATTTATCGTATGGTCGTTGTATTTTTTATTACATATTACACTACTACTCAAAAGTTTTACATGTTTAAAAATATTTCTTCAGCTCACCAAGGCTTTATTTATTTGATCAAAAATGCAATAAACGTGTGATCTTACTTGTTTACACTACCTGACAAAAGTCTTGTCGTCGATCCCAGTTGTAAAAGCATGGACCAAAGATTCTCACAGAATTCAGTCAAGTTTGGTGAAGGACAAATCCTGGTTTAGGGTTACATTCAGTATGGGGGCGTGCGAGAGATCTGCAGAGTGGATGGCAACATCAACAGGTATCAAGACATATGTGCTGCCCATTACATTACAAACCACTGGAGAGGATAGTGGTCAACAGGATAAGTGTTCGTTCTCATACTTTCGCCCAAAACATCAAAGTTCCTGAAAGCAAAGAAGGTCAGAGTACCCCAAAATTGCCCAGCCCAGTCACCAGACATAAACATAATTGAGCATATCTGAGGTAAGATAAAGGAGGCATTGAAGATTAATCAAAAAAATGTTTGATGAACTCTGGGAGTGCGGCAAGAATGCTTTCTTTGCCATTCCAGATGACTTTATTAATAAGTTATTTAAGTCATTGCAGAGATATATGGATGCACCATACTGTACCTTTTTTTCTGTTAAGTGACAACACTTTTGTCTAAGAAAAGTAAGACCTTACTGTCCTAATAAATAAATGAAGACATTTTATTTTATTTTGGTGAAATGTATGCCATTTGCCATCATAAATGTCACTTTTGATGCAAAATGATCAACTAGAAGTCAAGTTATCATTTGTTGTTCCTAAAACTTATATAGATGACAGGCTTTTGTCAGGTAGTGTAAGATACATTAAATATGTAAAACTATTTCTGAATGATTGTGTGATTTCCATGTTCACAATCCTTCAGAAATAATTTTATAGGATGATTTAATTCGTTTTTTCACCCTTAACAATCTATTAATAATGGGCTAACCTTCTGTTTATGAAAAAACCCAAAGTGCAATGAATGTATGTGCAATGAATGTATCAGGAGTTCAGGAAAGCAGTTAATAATCATATTATGACCATTGATTAAAACACATCAAAAAAATACATTGATTTAAAAAAAAAGGTCATGTGACACCAAAATCTGAAGCAATAATGCTAAAAATTAAGATTCTTCACATCTTCGAACGGAAAACAGATGAAAAAATGAAATCATATTTTATAGCATTGATGCTTATTGCATTTCTGATCAAACAAATGCAGCCTTGGTCAACAGAGCATACTCAAAAAAAAAAAAAAAAAAAAAAAAAAAACATTATGGTAGTCTTTCCAAAACGTATTGTATATTTAATATATAACTTTTATAGATTAACCAACCTTGGATTGCATAAAAGGTTCTCTATACTAAAATGTTCTTCACACTAGGCAGACAGTGGTTCTTTTAAGAAACTTTTAGTTCCTCTCTGGCATGCAAAAACCTTTATTCTTAAGAGTGACTGCAAAACTCAAACAGAATACAGCTCAGCATCTTTGTTTCACTGTTCTAATTTAAGCATTTAAGCTAAAATGTGTGATTGTGCAATCCAAAAAATGATGTTTGTTATTGGTTCAACCGACCGATTTAAAATTAGCTAAAACAACAACATTTTTGAGTTTTTTGGGGACAACTTGCTTGTTTTATGTTCAATCCTTTTAAAGTTACAAAAACTAAAAACGTATCTTAATTCCCTCATGTTCCTGCATTTTCTAACTCAAAGCAATTGTGTGAAACCTAGCATTTGAACAGTTGGCATTTCCGTGTGGAGTTTGCATTGAATAAACAAAATTGGATATAGTGTATGTGTGTGAATGAGAGTGTATGAGTGTTTTCCTGTGCTGGGTTGCAGTTGCAAGAGCATCCGCTGTGTAAAACATATGCTGGATAAGTTGACGGTTCATTCCGCTGTGGCGACCCCTGATGAATAAAAGGACTAAGCCAAAGGAAAAAAAAACTCAACATTTCTACAGTGTGAGAATAAGGAAAAGTAGACATTTACGTGTAGTAAGTATAGCTAGCATTTACAGATATTTACCTCATCAGATTAATGTGGCTGCATACATCCATGTATCTTCAGCTTCTGCTTTTTCACATTAAGTGTTTTACATGAAAACAGAATTGAGGCCGAAACTCAGTAGGTTGGTCTACAGCTCGTTAATGATCTCATCTGCATCTGCTTAAACTCCAGCTGGGCCGTCCAGAGCCTAATCCCACTCACACACCCCTCTTTACCTGCACTAATCCCACTCTCAGGGGCGTGAGGAGATCTGCATCTTTTGTCCTGTGCCCCCTGCCGTCTCCCCACACAAACACCGAAAACCTGCTCAGCCACACACACGGCTGGAGAGCTTTACTATCACAAATACTGTAAAGGAAAACTCAAAGCTCTTTGCAGGACAAAGAGCCTCTTACCGCTCTTCTCTTATCTCTCTTCAGAGAGATCTTCAGTTTAATGGAAGATCATGTGACTTCACTGCTGTAATGTCAACCAGATGTAAAGAATCAAGCCAATGCTGCTTGAGTTTTATATGTTTATCTTATGAAATATGAATGATTTATTGTACTTCATGACTTAAAATACTTCCAATAAGGAAAGAGAGTAAATAACTTCTTAAAATGGCTATTGTGTGAGTGTTTTAAAGTGATTAGTTGACTTTACTTAATAAAGTGAGTAAACCTGTTGCTTTTTAAGGAAATAAACTGTGTGTGATTACAAAAATTAAGTTCTGTCAACTTAATTTTTTAAATTAAACTCAACAAGTCGCTTTTAAGGCATTGGGTTTACTCTTTTTTTATTCAAATAAAGTGACCAATTGCTTTTTTCCACAGTGTATAAGGACTATTGTGTGCATTTTCACAAGTTCCTGTGTGTACTATTGAGTAAAAATAAGAAAAGAGTCAAAGAAATTGCCTATGAAAATAGATTTATTCTCTAATCTTTTATAAATAACATTACAATCTGTGATTGCTGAAGAAACAATCAAGCGTTCATGCAAATACACTCCTATGAGAAGCAATAATATGACCAACATAATAACATCAGTCTTGATTGTTTGTGTATGCAAGTAAATATATCTTTGGAAGCCATTTAAAAAAGCAAAGTAAACATTAATAATCCATGTGTAGTCCCAAAAATATAAGTGTATAGCTTTATGAACAACTTCAGATAGTGACAGTGGGATAGATAGGCTCTGTGTGCATGGGAGCCTGAGGAAACGGTTGTCCGAATGCTGACCGGCTGTCCAGGAACGCAGGGGCCATGAGCATGCTGCGTTCTGGAGGCAGAGCGTAATTCATGTAGGGCTGATAGAACTGTGGCGCCCCCTGAGAGAGCGGAGGAACATATTGCTGGGGCTGAGGAGCTGGGTATGAGTTTGCCATGGGGCCGTAGAGGTTCACACTGAGCTCTGATGGCGGAGGGCGAGCGTTTGTCGTGGAGGAGCCGGACGTGGAGGTGCGGGACGGGGTGGAGTTGTCTACTGACGGACCTCCAGACTCCAGCAGGCTGGTCTGAGCAGCGGAGGGTCCCACTGGATGATCGCTTGCTTTGGGCTTCACACACTGGCAGCAGCAGACAGATACAATCGCACCGACCAGCACAAACGACAGGAACGCACTCACCACAATCACAAAGGGGAGATATGTTGGTACTGGGGAAGATAAGAATAAATGAAATTAGATGTGTGTTGAAAATACTCATGAGAGTTTGATGAAAATCTGCCAGTGAGAGTTACAAAAATGTCATCATTTCATTCATTTGCAATCAATATCTTTCCAAAAGATTATAGAAAAGATACTCTACTGGTCAAAGGTTTAGGCTCAGTATGATTTGTAAATGTTTTAAAATAAGCTTCTCCTGCTCACCAAGGCTGCATTTATTTAATCAAAAATTCAGTACAAATTTTAAAATTGTGAAATGTATTTGCACTATAAAATAACTGTTTAGAAGTAGTTTATCATTTAATTTAATAATTTATTCCAGAGATTTTAAACATATTTTTTTAACTTTATTACTCCAGTCTTCAGAGTCACATAATCCTTCTTAAATCACTCTGCTATTAATTATTATCATTATTATTATTCATGATAACAGTAATAAAAGCAATAATGACTGGAGTAATAATATCATTTAAAAATAAGTAATAAATAAATATTTAATAAATAAGTATTTAACCGCCTTGATAAACAGAGTAATTTTATTTAAATTATTAAATAAGATTTATTATAAAAAATAAAAAGACTGACCCCAATCTTTTGACCGATAGTGTAGTTACAAAAAAAAAAGACAAAAACCTGCAATTGTGTCCTTAAATAGCTATTTTATCCTGATTCATCCAATAAAATTTGTTTTGTGTGTGCGTAAATTAATGTAATTAGGTTTATTTAAATCAATACCTTGAATGAACCCAGACAATTTAAATGTTGCCA